ATGCACAAATGTTAGACGCAATCTAATTCTTGTTTCTCTTTTGGTTTATAAAAAAACTGTGTTGTTATTTTGTAAAACTGGTTTTATAAAATTGAATAGATATGCGATTGCTTTTGGTGCATTGAAAGATGATTGATATAATATGATCACAAACTCTTAATATTTACATGATGTAGAAACTAATGTTGCATTTTCTGGATTGAATGTTAAGAGGGATATGTCTAAATACTATGTCAGACTTGAATACCATTAAGATAGCCTAAGGAACTCTAGTATGAGATCGTATTTTTAAAATGATTGTTTATTATTTAAAAATTGAACTGGAAGTCGATAGGGCTGACTTGAATGGTAAGTTTCAAATTGACATGATTATTGCCTTGTTACCAAATTCGTTCGGCTTTTTCAGAGTAAACTAAATAAGGAATCAGTTTGAGTTCACACTCGCTGATATTCTTATAGAATTGGTAACAGATGAATGAATAATCAAGAGTATGGGCGTTCCTATTAATCTAACCTAGTCTACACCATCTTCTTCTAGGCTTAAGTGGACGGACAAAGGAAAGAAGAAGGATAATAATAAGACTAAGCTAGCACAAAACATAGGTATCCAAAAGGTTAAAGGGAATAAGGCAGTGTATGTTGAGGGCGAAGGAAACTGTTTATTTTGCCGCTAACTAAGACACTAAAGGACAAACTGTCTAAGCAATGACATGGCATAGGAAAATATATATATAATCATTGAGCCATGTTATGTGGTTGTATCTATTAATTCCTGATGGATAGATTCTAGAGTCACTAAACATGTTTGCAATTCGTTGCAATGATTTCAGGAATCCAGAAGCCTCGATGATATAAAATATATTTGTGCTTAACCTAATGTCAAGGTTGTAGCTAAGTCAGTAGGAGTCTTACATCTGAAATTAGAGAGTATGAGGATATTAGTATTAGAGAATTATCTTTATGCACAGATGTTAGACGCAGTCTAATTCTTGTTTCTCTTTTGGTTTATAAAAAAACTATGTTGTTATTTTGTAAAACTGGTTTTATAAAATTGAATAGATATGCGATTGCTTTTGATGCATTGAAAGATGATTGATATACTATAATCACAAACTCTTAATATTTGCATGATGTAGAAACTAATGTTGCATTTTCTGGATTGAATGTTAAGAGAATATTTGTTATTCCTGTCTATTTTTGGGTTATAATCAGTAAAAATAAGATACAAAGATTGGTCAAAGAAGGTTTATAACCTAGTGAGGCAAAGGAGCCTAAACCAACTTGTGAATTCTGTTTTGAAAGATAGATAACCCTAAGGGCTTTAATCAGCCAAGTGAAATAGACATAAAGAACAATTGGAGTCGATACACACGGACACGTATGGTCTTATGAACATCCAAGCAAGTTTACTCACGTTTTGGATAAATTTACCTGATGTGACACAAGTCTTAAACTTTTGGTATATTTCGAAAGAGTCAAGACTGATGTGGAGCATAGATTAGGTAAACTTATCAAAACACTTCGATCTGATTGTGGGTATGAGTATTTCTTGGGATAGTGCAAAGACTATATGGTCAATGAGGGTGTTGTGTACCAGTTTTTCGCATTTGACGCTAAATGGATTTAGGTGTCAAGTAGGAATAACAGAATTCCGCGTAACATGGTTAGATCTATGATCGGATATGCCACATTATCTCTTTCATTTAAGAGTTTAGCGTTAATGATATCGATGCGCATTATGAAGTGCATTCCATCTTAGTCTGTCTTAAGGATATCTTTTGAGCTGTGTTTTTGACTAAATTTTAGTTTGAATCACATGCACTTATAGGATAGTCTTGCACATGTGCGCTTGATATGGACAAGTAAGTTGGAAACAGATCATACGCATGATAGTTTTGATAGCTACTCTAAAAGTCACTAGGATGGATTATTTTATGATTTCAATGATAAAAGTTGATTGTTTAACCTCACTGTTTATCTATAGGAGAATCATGTTATGAATTACATACCTAGTAGCATAATGTTAGAGAATATGGTATGAGTACCACATATACCATATGTGAACACACTTATTATAGAGATTGAGAATAATATATGAATTCCCTATTGATGCATTAGCATCATCTAATACACAGATTCCTGCATCTGTACATTATTATAGTGGGAGGATTATCATCCAATCTGACAAAATCATGTTTTTAGGTGAGACCTTTATGGATTTCCCTGTTAAACATGAGTTGGATCCAGTAAGTTACACAGAAGCGTGAACCGATATGGATACAGATCGTTTTGGTAAGTTGCTATGAAATCAGAGTTGGAATCTATGTATTCTAATAAAATCTGGGATCTTGTAGAACTTTCTAGTAGGGTGATACATATGGAAGGCAAGTTAATCTACAAAAAGATACCAGAAGATTTCTTAGTGAATAAATCATGAGTGTACAAGGGAATGTCATTATTTTTCTAATTCTAAATATATTGATGACATCCTACTCATTTAGAATGATATGGAAAGTTTTGTCATCAGTAAAGAGGTAGTTGTTCAATTATTTTGAAATGAAGGATTTTAAAGATGTAAGCTATATGTCTAGGATCAAGCTTTTGCAAGATCAGGTTAAAAGGAAAATAGGCTTATCTTAATAATCCTATATTGATAAAGTTTTGACTAGGTTTGGTATGCATAACTCAAAGAATGAGTTCTTGCTTTATTGATATGAAATGCTCTCTCTAGTAAGTAGTTTTCCAAGGCCAGCAGAGGAGATTGAGCAAATGAGACTGGAACTATATGCTTTGACATATGGGAGTCTCATATATGCCATGGTCTATACCAAACAGGACATCCGCTACATTGTAGGGATAGTCAGAAAATATCAGTCCAATCCTGGACTTGATAATTAGTCTGTTGTGAAAAATATCATAAAGTACTTTAAAGAGAACCAATAATCTCACTCTCATTTATGGATATGATGATGTGGTTCTAGTCAAGTATGCTAGTTATGATTTTAAATTAGTTGTAGATACTATGAGGTTCATTACTCAGTGTATGATCACTCAATGGAAGGGAAATCAGTTAGTAAATTGTTAAGCAGATTTCAACTGCTGACTCAAACCTGCAGGTGGAGTACATTGCAGCCTTAAAGGCAGCAAAGGAAGCCTTTTGGTTTGATCTCTTTAATTTAAAGGTTGTGGAGCACACTAGGCTGCCTATCGAGCTATATTGTGACAATAGTGTAGAAGTAGTCCAAACCAATGACCCAAGGTTCCATAGAGAAACAAGGTACATTGAAAGGAAGTATCATGTTTTACATGATATCGTCCGGCAAGAAAATGTACTCATGGCTAGAACATTGCATTGGAACACAACTTTGTTGATCCATTAACATAGGTGTCATTGATCAATAATTTTGATCGTCATCTGGATAACATTGGAGTTAGATGTAATTTGAATTGGCTATGAGGGCAAGTGGGAGCTGTTGGGATTTATATGCCCTGGGATAGCAAATTCCTGCTTGGATTAAAGTGACATATGTTCCTGACGTTTCTGAAATATTTATGCTTTATACAATTAGTGAATTCAATGTATTATGTTTCCATTCATTATATAATTGATAGTATCCACTTGATTACAAGAGAGATTTATATATGTATGTGATGACGATCAATACATGAATATAAATAGTAATCATAAATTGTTCATAGTCGGTAATTATGGATAGACTCATAATTAATTAAGATTTGAACTGAATCCGCGTTAGGTTGAGATATATTGCGAGAGCCGTCGTATGCAATTGCTCCCTATCACCGTCATGGCATTTGACTCTTAAGTATGAAAAAAGTATAAACTCTTTTATTAATTAATAATTACTTTGATTTGTTCGGCGGATACTTCGAGATCCTTAGACTGACACTTTGGGTAGTTATGTAATTAATAGTTAGAGAGTTATATTTTTAATATTTGCATCATTGCTACTTGTATTTATTTTGTATTGATTATGGTTGATCACAAAGTAAATTCGAAGGCCTTCGTATGTTTTTAGACAAAATGATTTATTATATATTTATTTATTTAAATTATTATTTTTGTCAAACAAATGTTTTATTGTGATCGAGTCAGAAATAATCAAAGGTACCAAAATAAATATATTAATTAAGTAATTTGATTAATGGCTTTATTTATCCAATAACTAATTATACATAGCGGGGTCAAAGTGTAGTATTGACTTAGATGTTATTTATTATTTAATTGGAGTCCAATTAATTTCTTTTAGTGGAGTAGAAATTGATTTATGAATTAATTGAATTGGGTCCATGAACCGGGCCAATTATTAATTCATTGTAGCCAATAAAATAATAAGCCCAAAGGATTCTCACTCATAACCCAACTTGATATTGAAATCCTATTAGATTTGAAACATGTGAATTAGAGATTGAGAAGGATTTATTGTTTCTTTTTTATTATTTTTATGTTGCCTATATATATATAGTCTATGTATATTTTAGGAGAACTTTTTGAAGGAAGAAAAAGAAATATATTTTCTCTCTCTAGAATATTAGGGTTAGTGTTCTCATTTAATGGAAGCTCCCACAAGTCTAATTTTCCAAGATCATTCATGGAGGCTTATGAGTGATTCCTAAAGACAAGACCATTACCAAGAAGATGGAGATCCATGGAAAAAGGTGTCTAACAAAAGTGATCTACAATAAGTGAAAACATTCACTTTAAAGGAGAGATCCAAGGTTTACTCAAACCTTAATGTAAGTATTAAATCTTTTAATTGAATGATACATCATGTTTTATTTTTGCATAAAACTTGTCTCAATGTGATGAATCAAAATCTATGAATTAAAATTCCTCGAAAAGTTTTTAAAATTTGCACGTTTCCCAACAATTGTAAAGCAGAAAATATATATTTTTATTTTAAAAAACAGAAAAGCAATAGGAAGACGATCTATAAACAGGACTGAAGGTGAAAATTGTATACTATAACAAGGAAAGTTCATCTCCAGACAACAAGAAGCTCATCTAAAAATATGACAGGGAAGCAGAAATTACAGTCTATTTGATGACAAGTGACTAATTTCAGTCTCAACATTAGCCATACACAAAGTACAGACACAAAGTACAGACACAAACATTCAAGCCATACACAAACTACACACAGAAACATTCAAGCCATACACAAACTACACACGCAAACATTCAAGCCATACACAAACTACGGACACAAAACATATGTACATATGCAAAAGATGTGGAAGAGGACCACGAGTAACGATTACCTTCAAATGTTTTGAATAGGCAAAAAATTTGAACCGTCTTGATGGCAAACTTCTCATCTCAAACTCAATCCGTTACTGTACTTCTGTTCAAGTGAAGACATTTGGGAAGTCCGGTACCTTGATTTATCCTTCTTGATGCGGATCAACTTGTCATACACACACCAAGGAAAGCTTAGGAAATGATCATGTTCCGTTCCCTCGCTGCATTGACCCCAAAAACTAGGATGATATGTAACATAGTACCAAGCTGATGCTTTAGCATATACACTCTCAACTTCAAACTGACTCCCTTTTGTTTTGAACCAGGTCCTAGCTTCCTTCCTCAAGGACCTTATAGCCAAACAAATTTTATCTGCCTCCTTTCTCTTGTTATAATATTTTGACATTTGCACGATGTTACCACTAAGTATTTCAGCCTCAGTTGTGATGCCATAGTCATCCATCAGGTTGCCCAACTTGAAATCATACATAGATTTACATTCAATTGCATCATCGATGTAATTCTTAAAACCATCTACTTCCATATCAGGATCATATGACTGTGTTGCCACTTCCTTTGTGAACGTTTTAAAAGTGCTTGTGAGTGGTACCGCGTCTTTCACCTCCCGATAAAGCTTTCCGATCACACGTTGTGATTCATAAGTGGGCTTGTCGGGCTTTTCCATAAAATCTGGGTATTTTTTTACACGTAAATGAGGTGGTATATCAGCCGGCACACCGGTCTTTGGAAAGTCAACAGCAACTGAGTGTAGCCTCGCAAGCTCTATACAAGGATTACTCATTGCTTTCAAAGGTTCCTTATCAGCAAAAATTGTGTGGGCATTTGCAATGATTCCTAAACTGTCATTCAGCATATAGTTCGTAAAATACTCCTGGACTTCCTGCAGTGCAGAAATAAACATGTGATATGTTGAAAACGGAAAAACAAATAGTAGTGAATCAGAGAGAACACTTGAAAGAGCATTGAACATCTCTTCCTTGCAGATTAATTATACATTTTGAGGTCTTCTGGCACACGAGTCAAGTGTTAAATATTTTAATGTGTTTCTACAAACTATTTTTTGCCTATTTTTTAACAACTAAGGCTTTGAAGTGAAGCAAAAGATATCTGTCCTTTTTAGTTCAACTGCATTGCTGATTTTTATGGTAAGCATAGTACTACAATACATAAAAAATCACACATGGATTAAGAAAGAAATATAAGCACGACTAGCAACAACAAAAGCATGTTGAATTATAATCTTTTTGTTCTGTTATCTAAAGATATCCTCCGTAGAAAATTGATGCAGTCCATGGGGCTCTCAGAGGATCAATTTTGAAGGAAATAAAAATCTTAGAAATTGGTGCATTTGCATGCAAGACCATCTTGGGATCTCTTCAATTGAAATTTATTGCAGTTGTCTTAATTTTTTTTTTTCGCCTATTTAGTGTATGTTTGGCATTGTTGAAGAGACAAAAAGCACTTTTAATTTGAAAATTGTCTTTTAGATGTGTTTGGTAACAAAAAAAGGAAAAAGGAAAAGCTTGTAGTCATGGAGATTTTGGCTTAGTATAGCGTTTAGCCAAAGCTAAAAATTGGAGCTTTTTGCAAGGAGAAATAAAATACATAGAAATGGTCAATTTATTAAAAATAAAAATATTCATAAAAAGTGTTTTACACACTACGTTACCAAATACTATCCTAAAAAAGTGCTTATTATAAGCTATAGAAACCCCCAAACGGACCTCTAGACTTGTTACTCTTTCTTTTTTTGCTTATTAAGTTGAGGGCAATTAGTGAGAAAAATAGAGAAAGTAGACTTAGATGGTTTGGACACTTACATCGGAGACTTAGTGATGCGCCAATCAAACAAGGAACACTAGTTGTATTAGGAGGTAAGAAACGAAGAGGTCGACCAAAAGTAACATGGGATGAGTGAACATTGTATTGATCATGGACGTGAAATAGATTTATAACAGATAATTTCTCAATGACTCAATATGCATTTTAGAGTGAGCATTAGTAGTAAGCAATTACAATGACAGCAAGAATATATAATCTATACTGTCATAATGTCAATTTTGGAGGATATTAGTCACAGCTGATAAGAGATTGATCATGGTCTGTAGGCCGAGCTAAAAGATAATTAACTGACAGGAGGGAAACCACATGATAGAAAGAAATTAAGTCCAAAAATCTGTAACTAGATGAGAGAGTAATACCTCTATTGTAACCTCATGATCCAACGAGATACTTGGTGCTGGGCTATAATCCATGGGATGGATTTGACGACGTGGAATCAGATCAGGGTCCCAACAGACAAAGTAATCATCTCCATCCAAATCACTTCCAGAGCATTCATTTGGATGGGGTCTGCTATTAAAGTTTGAATATTGTTAGTAAAGAATTTCACTGAAAGGAATTTGTTAGTAACTATGTAAAATGTTGCATAGGAGAAGAAAAACCCAATCAAGTCAAAGCAACAATGTTATTGACATTAATTAAAACTACTTTTTCTCCAATCACATAAATATTCGAGCAGAGAAAGCAAATAATAAATTACTATTCACATAAACTATCCATGGCTGTTGACAATCACATGTGATGCTGCAGTTGTAACTAAATTGGAACAGATGGTTATAGATGTGATTTGAAAATAGAGAGGAGAGATTATAACATATCTCCAAGATTTCCTCCTCTCATCACACAACAGTATTAAAACATCAAAGGTGCAAAGCTGGCAACAAAATTAGAAGCAAATAGATTTTTTCATGAAACTACGAGATATTTGTGACATGTTTTACCTCTTTCCATTCTGTGGAAAAACGATACAATCCACCATATGGTGCAAAGCTGGCACATCAACAGCCTTCAAGACACGAACATCACCTGGGTGCAAGCATGGGTTTTTAGCAACAAAAACCTTCCCATCAATGACAGAGTTATGTGAGTCTGAACCATAGTCAATGATCGCAAGAGGTGAATCATCATAAAATGGCCTACGTCCACCACCAGAAGTTTGCACAAATACCTGCCCATACTCCAAGGTTCCAGTTTCATCTAAACATCCCATCATTAATCTTCCACTCCGAACAAATATCCTTGTCTTGATCCGCAAGTCCAGTAACTTTGATGCCCTGAAAGTATGAAGCATCATTGAGAGGAATGGTTCAACATTAGGCTTATAACCACACAAAAGCATTTCCCTAAGAATCTTTGTGTTCTCTCCTGGAGACATCAACTCTAGTGCCTCCTGTGCCCTTAATGGATCTGCTAAAATAGTATCCAGTTGCTGCACTACCTCCCTTTGCTTTTTTTCAAAGACACGATCCCTAACCCCAAGGGTAGACAAAAGTGTTATCAATTGGCGATTCAGAAAACAAGGATGATATTTGCTCCATGCCAAAACATCTAATTTTGTGTTTTCAGATTCATACTTGAGCATGCTCTTTCTTAATGACAATTTCATTGATGACATGGGATCAACAGCAACTACTCCTTTGTACCCTGCATATCGAATCTGAAAGGCAGATGGAGTATTTTTAAGACCACATTTGATAGCAACTCTCTGGGCAAAGTCAGCAGATATTTTCCCTATTCCATCAGAGAAAACATATTTGGCTTCTTCGCTTTCAACCTCCACGTCAGGAATATCTTCAACTTCATGCCTACCAACATTTAAAGTCTCTGTGGATGAACTGAAAGATTGACCAAGTCTGGCAGCATATTTTGCCACATTTCTGATCATACGAAAATCACCCATCCATTTCCTTATATCAGCAGCAGTAAGACCATTTCTGGATGCAAACATCCACGCAGAATTATCCCGTAATTGACTTGATGAGAACGCAAGAAAATCAAACTTCTTACTACCAATAACTATGCCATTTCTAAGCGTTGATAGTATTCTCTTATAAATGTCAGTTCTCCTTTCCTCATTTCCAGAAGCAATACGCGGGGATAAGTGTGTGGAATGCAGTTTATTTAACTCTTCATCAACGAAAGAAACCCGAAGAAAATTGTCGATGTCGTCGGGATAATTGCGTAACACACGATTAGAAATGTTGACCTCTGGGCCGTAGAAATACACTTTGCAAGGAGTTATTAGAACCCTACGAACATATACCAACCCAACATCTGAAGTAATAGCAGGCCGTACAAGAGGTTTCTGAGACATGAGGTATTCGTTATATTGCTTAGCGAGCCACCTTGCTGGCTCATAGCAACAATTTTTTAAATGACACAAGCTCAGCAAGGCACGATGTATATATGCAATATCTATTCTCTGAGGATCAATCAACCGGAAAAAATTGATATCAAGTGAGGGCCCAGGAAGATATCCATGCTGAACCAGGGAACTTATCTTAAATAATATTTGAAATGGCAATTCAGGCCCTTGGGGAGGAGGACCCATGATGGGGACAAGATCCAAATTGTGAGAAAAAGGGTTACCACTCTCCAAAATGAATTGGCTTTCAATTGCAGGGGAAACTGAAGTTAGAAAACCATGCGAACCATGTGGTAGCTCCAAACATAAAGCAGAAGATTGCCCAATACAGCATGATGGAGTGAAATCAGTAGCCCTGACCCACTGGCCATTAGAAGTTTCTTCAAGTTTCTCATAAATTCGAGGAGCACCAAGTAGCTAGCAATCAGAAAGGGAAAAAATATTAATAATTCACATAAAATAAATAAATAAAATAAAACAAAAATTGTACCATTTGTAACAACAACTACATTGCTTTTCCAATAGCAAATGCAAGCACTAAAAGTCCTCATATTTAGTGCAATGAAACTAAGTACATTAATACACTCTTCATGCATTGACAATATGATATCGTATTGAATTCATATATGCTTTAAAAAATTTAAAGGTCAATTTCTGTTGGGTAGAGTTGACAAGGGTGGCATCGAAAACTCTGACTGTGTAAGGAGAATTATGAATGCTATCAATGATTTTTCTCTATATTTGTAAAAGTCTTTCATATATATGTAGCTAATCATCACCAATTCATGGAAAGAAAAATTATGACATCGAAAATTTTTGAAATCCATTTATAGTACTTGTCTTTTGTTGATACAATGCAATAGTATTTAGATAAAACACTTATTCCAAAGCATACGCTGTGAATAGGCCAGACAATGTAGGTCGCCCTCACATTATCCTTCATTTGCCTCTCTCAAACATAGAGATGAAGAAAAACAAACACAACTACAAACAATGTAAACCTGAAATACAGGGGGAAGAAGAGACTTGAACCCAAGACCTTTCAAAATAAAAACTTTATGTCATGTTAACATTTTCTCGTCCAAAAAGTGACTGTTAGAAAATTTCCAAACTTAAAGCAATTAAAGAATGGACTTAATAATATATCATGAAGATTAGATCTGAATTACAAATAAATCTACTGACATGGGGTCTTTCCACTAAAATGGGCTAGAATGTCTGTATGCCTATTCTATCTCCATTCAGCAATATAGGATGCCCCTACATAACTTCCTGAAGTATTTTCCATACAATCGGTTCTTTTTCCGAATTTTACTCTAAGCAACCCTATGTTCGAAGCAAGATGTTTTCTAATTAGATCATGAATTACAAATGTCTGGAAAAGCTTTATTGCTATTATGTGAGGCAATCCACATCGATGTAATGAAAGTGAAAGACCTACGATAGTGACAGAATGCCGCCTACAAAGCCTAAACCTATCATGTTATAAGCCTTTGCTCATTAATTTCCACAAAATTGTAAGTGGGTTATGGGCATGCAGCCTATTTTCCAAACTATAGACCTCCAATGTGGTGACTTATGTGGGCACGTGCAATATGGGCGGGTGTGAATAGACTCTGGGCGAACTACATGTTGTACAATCTCACATCACCTATGAAAGGTGAAGGTGAGGTGCTTATATGTACTAGTGCTATCTCCAAATGGTATAAGACCTTTTGAGGTAAAATCCAAGACCAAAACCGTGCGGGCTGAGGCTCAAAATGGACAATATCATGTGGTGGAGTGTGCTGTTACAAATGGTAAGGTGAGGTGCTTATATATAACAGTGCTATCTCCAAATGGTTTGAGGCCTTTTGGGATAAAACCCAAGCGCAAAGCCGTGTGGGCCCCAATATCATACCATGTGGTGGAGTGGACCATTACAAATGGTAACCAAGTCGAAAGGCTCAGGCACAAAGTGGACAATATCATACCATGTGGTGGAGTGGGCTATTACACTCAGGGAATTATACTACCCAAGCATAGCCAATTAGGGCCTATATCCCTACGATTAGGGCCTATATCCCTGGGATATTATCGTAAACCTAAACTCGTACTATCTCTAGAATTCTCATGAGCCTTTCCTCTCAAGTTGCTCTAAAACCCACAAGCACCTATATCAATACATCGTTGTGGTTGGTCTGCTTCCTCAAAGTCAAGGATGAATGATGGATTATTCATCATTTCCCTATAGCCATACAGCACAATAAAGATGTCTTGCCATCAACGTAGCCTATTATAACACTCTGAAACTATGAAACAATCAAATAATATGATGTCGATTTTATCAATTTGAAGGTTAAATCTCTTCAAGAAGCATGTCAAGTTTGAATCTTCAATCTTTTAGTGGATAGTGCAGAGATGCATAAACCTTTAGAGTTCACACTTTGTAGAAGCTAAATCACTAATAATCTTGACGCATAAGTTATTCAATCAATAAAATGTACAAAATCATGCTGAAATGAATTTTTCGTAGTTGGCAAGCAGATAAAATTAGTATAATACCAAAGATGATAAAAATTTATTCAAGCAAACCTGAAAGACTAGAAAGGCTTCAGCTTGACCATGTGGACGACGTAGTTCGATGTTACTGATGTTCTCATCAGAGAGCTCAAGCTTGTACTCTGCAGAAAGATAGGACAGAAAAAAGTAATATTTACTACTTCCATTCCCCATTTTCACAGAAACGTTTCTGCTCTCCCAGAACACTGAAAATTTGTCCTTCGAGACCTGACATCCAAAATGCAGTGGAACTCCTTTCATCTTTTGCACATCGGTAATCGGCTTTGGTATGATATCACATTTCATTTTCCGCACACTCAAATAAGAAGACCCATACCATAGGTATGGTGTTGCCAAGGAGATAATATGGTCAGCGGCATCCGTAGTTGTGAATTGAACTGTAGCACACGCTCTTGATCCTCCTTTCTTCCTAATTTCTAAAGCATATACAGTTCCTTCATCTGTATATTCTTCTAAATATACCTTAACTTCTTCTGCAGACACAGGATAAGGGAATCCAAACACTTGAATTGTTTTACCCATCAAGTCCTAGTGATTTTACTGCAATATTGTTATACATTACTGAATCAGCAATTGTATATATATGAATGCTCCACTATATGTTACACTAGGTAATGTAATATGTAAGAGTTAACAACAGGAACAACAACCAAATGCAGATAATGAAAACAAATGATATTGGCTGATAACACAACACATCAGCTAATCCAGTATGCTATCAAGTATCACAAGACACTAGCATAAATTAATCGTCTGATACACCGTTAATCAAATGTCAATTGTCATGTAAAGATTGGTCAATATCTTTGTGGTATTTTGGTCATTACAGAATGCATACGCATTAAGCATTACTAAACAAGAACAGAATCATAATCTTTCCTACGTGCTTTCAACTTCTTCTCTTTTATTTTTTCTCTTCTTTCGAATCATACTGCACAATCCTGCCATAGAATCCAGCTATGAAGAAAATTGTACCAAGTAGAATGCAATACTTTGATCTACAGCAACGCCCTCAACACATAACACCAATTGTAGGATTAAACAACCACCAAAGAGATACCCCTTATTATCTCTATCAAGTAATTAGATACTTGTTTTTATTTTTCTTTTTTTAATTTAATTTTTTTCCAACTCTTTACTTAAGAACCTCCAGTTCACCTGCAACTCTGTGGAAAACGGCATAAGGTTCAGAATTCTTGTAACATTATCAAAAGAAGTTACCAGGAGGCTAAATGATGACTCCATGCATCCCAAAATTGTATGTGCTAGTGCATGTGATATGTTTTGATGAGATTTTTAAAAACATGGTGCTTTTAATTATGAAGAGGAAGTTGTTGTTCGGACTTCTATTATTCTAAACAAGAATAACAATAATAATATAACCAAAAAAAAAAAAAAAAAAAACAGATAAATTGATTATGAAAATTCTAAAATAACCCTCCAGAATCTCAATCTTCTTGAACAGACTTGTGCTAAGATTGAAGAAGTAAATGCAAAAGAAGCTGTTTGATTATGAAGGGGGATCTGGTTTCTAGTCTCCTATATCAGTTACCTGAATTTTTGGAATAGTGGCATATCTTTAATCACAATCTGAAGCATTTGTGTGATTGGTTGATCAGTTGACCTCTTTAACCACATTGTATTTAGTAATTAAGGTAATTTTTTCCTATATGATATGTCTCAAGGAATGGTTATAGCATACATTTTAACTGAACAACCTTATTGTGGTTTAAAATGTATGCTATAACCATGCCCTGTGAAATATCATATCAGAAAAAATTACTTTTAACAAGCTTATGGACTTTCATAGAAATTCCTACAAATCCAGGAAAAGGGAAGAACAAAGAATAATTTCAAGATTTTCATCCTGAGTTGAACCTCAATTATTTTTGGCATGAAAAATAATTCGCATTTACTCACATGAGGTAGAAGGGTAGGGATGGCAATGGGGCGGTTTGGGGTGGGTTTCCCATTCCCCATCCCCGCCCCCGTTTAATTTTGGTACCCCCAAAACCGCCCCATAACCGGTTAATTTTTTGCCTCTAATCCCCATAACCGCCCCCGCCCTTGCCCCCGCCCCATCACCCGCCCCATAACCGATTATATTTTTATTTAAACACAATCATAGCACATATACACACACACACACACACACACACACACACATATATATATATATATGGAAGTGATAAGTGTAGGGTTTCCAATATATATATAGAGAGAGAGAGAGAGTGAAGGTTAATTTGGTAAATATATTAACATGGTAGGATAAATTAGTAATTTAAAATATTAAACGGGGCGGTTATGGGGCGGGGATCTTAGTCCCCCGCCCCCGCCCCGCAACCGGCCAGTTTTTTTTTTTTTAACCCCCATCCCCACCCCATTTAAGTAAACGGTCCTCCCAACCCGCTTTAAATGGGGCGGGGGCGGGGTGGTTCCTCACCGGATTGGGGATTTTTGCCACCCCTATAGAACGGTAAGCAATAGCTTTATTTTCTATAGAAAATACTCCTTCAAGCAGCCACGTGAATATTTGCATGTAATCAAAGATTTGTGTTATAGAAAAATAATAAAAAACATGGGGCATTTGGCTGGGTGGTGTAACCTCTCTAGAGGGAACATTGATGGTTCAAGTCCTAAGTGGGGCAAAATGTGTGTGTGTTGCTTACTTACTCCCCCAAAAGAGGGGGGGAAAAAATTAATAATAACACCCAAGGTAAACTAATTAATTCTCAAATTGTAAAGAACATTAGAAACCATTAGTCATAATATATTACCACTTTTTGGACATTTAAAAATACAACAAATGGACAAGGACAAATCCCTGATGTCATCAATTTGAGATGTCTACAAAATAAGGATTTGAATTATGTCCTTGGGCTTCATCAGCGTATACAAGTATGTGCTTGTATATGAATATAATTATATGTGTGTGTGTGTGTATATCAAGTTCCAAGAAGGGCTTGAGATAGATGTATGGTAAGATCAAAAAGGCAAAATTAGAAATCAACACATTCATCAGATAGTTAAAATACAACCAATTGCATATATAAAAAAGCAAAAATTTACTAAGACATATGACTTGGTAATGTACTACGAAGACCAATAAATGCAACAACAGGAAAGAGTTATACTGGTCGACCATTGTCCTAGTGGATTTAGGTCCTAACTCCCAACCTCTAGGTCAAGGTTTCGAGAACTGAGAGAGAAAAACGAAAACGAAAACGAAAACAAACAACAAAGATAAAATAAAATAAAAAATAAAAAAATTGAAAAAATAGGAAAGAGTTATTTGGTCCATACAGTGGAGAAAGTTGGGGAAGGGGATATGTGTTGAAAAGTGTGGTTTTAACCCTACATAGAGTAGAACGACTAAACAAGACTTGTGAAATTGCTGGAAAAAGGCTTTGTTGAGTCAACGATGAGTATCAAATGGTTCAAGACAAACTTGATTTCTTTAAAAAAAAAAAAAAAAAAACTGATTTGGAGCAACCATTTACAAATTCAAAACAAAAAACAAAAATAAAGGACAGAAAAATGTAATTCGAATGAGTCAGTGTTAATGCAATGTATATTAGAGTGGCTCCATCCACACCTTCTCTTGCCTCCTTTTTTTCTTTTTCTTTCATTCAGGAATTAATGCCTAATATATATTATGTACATCATCAATCTCTTCTAATACCCATATAATTTCTTCAATCAAACAACCACCATACACAGGGATGCTCTGTTAGATTGCTGACAAAATGCCTAAAATAGAATTAAATTGAAGATCAAAACATTATTTAAAACTTCAACACCCACTGAGTTGGGCGCATTACAACAATTTGAGTTATATAACGGGATAAACCAAAAAGACCAAACAAAATTTCTAAAATTTCTAAAATTCCTTTTCCTTTCCTCTGTATTTCTCAGCAACCAAACAAAGGTAATGAAAACTTCAACACATACAGTACAAAGGTAAAGAGCGCTCTCCATAAGTATATCAAGCATTGTAAGCAACAAAAAAGACACAGATTATCGCAAATATGCTATACATTTGAGAGAGAGACTATTAGTGGAAGTAAATGCAAGAGGAGAGAGAGATTCTAACCAGGCAGCGCAGAGACTTCAACTTTTACTACTATTATTACACACAAACAAACCCACCTTGAAGCTCACTCGAAGTACTAAATATATAGTAACTAGAGAAAGACCTGAGTCTTCGCAAGGAAGTTTCTTTACTTTTAATTTTGGATTAAAAAATCTTTATTCCTAAAAATTCCAATACTATTATAAAGTTATCATAATACCCAAATTCGGTTAGTTTAGGATGTTAAAATAGTGCAGTAATATTTTTAGTAACAAAATTACCCTTATAAAAACATGTGCCAACATTTTTTTTGTTATTTCAAAAATACACCTAAATATGTTAAATAATAGAAGCCGCGATTTACTCATCTATTGAAAATGATTGAATTTTAATATTTGAATTAAAATTTTAAATAATGTATGACCGTAGACATTAAAAAAATATTTAAAAATTTTATCATCAAAATATGCATTTCCATTTTAAACACCTTTCAGTTTATTTAGTTTTTAGAAATATAATAAATCTAACTTTGAAAATCTTCTTCTAATTGAGTTTTGAATCAATAATTTTTTATTTAAACCATTTTTCAAAATAAGAATAAACCTTTTGTGATTAAAATTTTATTCAAAATTTTGTGAGTATCCAAAATCTATTAGTTTACCATTTAAACATATTTATTATTAACTATCCTAATTGTTGTCAATTTTTATATTTAAATTGTGTCGTAATTAGTCAAATTTTTTAAGTATGAAAATGAATCAATTTTTAAAAAATATAAATAAATAATGATATTTAATAACTTATTTAGTTTTTTGTTTACCAAATTGTGAATTTTACAAAAAAAAATTTTATTTAAATTAAATGAACTAAATTATAATTTAATACATAATGTAATATTCATAAATTGACTTGAACTAAATTATAATTTAATACATTGACTGGCGAAGATTTTATAATTTGTAAAATATTAAATTTTGATTTTTAAATAAAGTAGTATGTAATTTAGCATTTTATAAACATTAACGATTCATTGACAGATTTGGAATAATGTGATAACTTTATAATAATATATTAAGATTTTTATAAACAAATTGAAATTTTGGGATCAAATAGTGACCGTTTTATGATTTTAGTCCTTTTATAAATTATATGGATTATATAAATATATATTATATATATGTGTGCGCGCGCGCGCGTATATTATATAAAGGAACTCGGTGTCTTACACTGTTACAAATACATTCTTTTGATCTTCATCCGGGAGTCACTCCCAAGCAGACATGACCCACCAAGAGAAGGAAATCTTTTTTCTATTCTGATGAAAGTGACCACTACATAAGTATAATTAAATATATATACATATGTGTATAGTATTAAAATGAAAAACAGTGTATATTTTAATCCTCAATCCCTAGTCAAACCAGGTCTCCCATTAATGTGGGAACAAAATAAATCCCCTACCCTTTCTCTTTTTTGTATCCGTCACTCTCTCTTTCGCTCTCACACGCCGAATTAAGTTAGAACTTGCAAATAAAAAAAAATAAAAAAAATAAATTCTTACATTGAATTCTTACCCTAACATTAGAATTAAAGATTTATATAGTGAATGTGACCTACATTTGAACTTATTCTCTATATGATATGGATAAAAAATTTAAAGGCGTTATAAGTAGGTTTGAGAATTCGGTCTAAATATCATTATTTAATAAAAAATAAAAATTTAGAATTATTCACTATTATTACTTTGATCTCTTTTAAAATTTGGATCGCGTATTTAATGATATTTTTAGAATTTTTTTTCCGACAGATAAAATAATACCGACTTTTATATCGAGCTAGTGCTAAGTTGTATACCTGCATAGCTCAAGAATCAATTGAAACCCAAATTACAATGGAAGAACTCAAGACTCATGGGTGTGGCCATGGATGTTGAATTGGGATACAGCTGGGTGCAAACAGATTTACAATAAGCAGCACTTTTCTTAATACAAAAGTAATTAAAGGTTATAAATGTCAATAAGTGTAAATTAATGGTCCATTTTCTTTGGTTTTTCTGTCGTTGATGTGTTGATTCCTCTTCTATGATATCGTTTGTTTGTTTGGCAAATAAACAAAACAAAAAGAATCTTTGAATATTGAGGCATATCCATTACTGTAGAAGCCTTGGATGTAAAGCACAAGTGGTGTGGGGAGCAAGGAAAGTAAAATGATTGGACGTCAGTTAAGCTTTGGCTTCATGATATTTTATATATATATATATATAATATTAGTAGTGTTCAATTCCTGATGAGTAAGAAATAATATACTCACTTTAATTGATAGTTTTAGGATCTAATCCAATGACTTATGGGGAGAATAATTATTTTAAGAAATTAATATTATTTTAATTAGCCATTAATTATAAAATGAGATACATTCTTAAAGGAAAAAAAAATATTTAATCATAATCTGTCATCACCCTACCATCACTGTCACCTCTATCCTGCCACCACTTCCCCCACCATACCACCTCCACCTAGACAGATTTGATGGCTGCTTTTGACTAAGAATTACCAAATCTACAAATTAATTGACGTCCTTATAATTATTGGTGTATGTGGTGGTGGTGGGTGGCAGTATGGTGGTGATGGAGGTGGCAGTGTTGTGGTGTAGTTGGGGGAGGTGGTCGTGACAGTGGGGGAGGAGGTGAGTGGTGGTGACGGACCGACAGTAGTGGAAAGGGGCATAGTTAATGTTTAATCAGATTAAAAAAATTATTATTACTATTTTTTTTTTTTAAAAAAAGTATTCAATATGGTCATTTCATAATTAATAGCTAATTAAAATAAATACAATTACCTAAATAACTATCATTTCAATTAGCCGTAGGATTTGATTTTAAGGTTATGAGTAAAAGTGAGTATATTGCTCCATGCTCATCAGGGAGCAATTGAACAATATTGAATATAATATATGTGATAATAGACATGTTTGGTAAAGTTTTCAGTTTTGATTTTCAGTTGTGATTTTTATTATTATTATTTTTTTTAAAAAAAGGTATTAAAATTCGTTTGGTAACTCTATTTTGATTTTTCACATTTTAAAATTTTTGAAAACTAATTTTCACTTCCTTCACAATTCCCACGACTCCAAAATGAAGTTTCAGTTTTGGTTTGCAAAAACTATTATTTATTATTTTTTAAAATTAGAGAAATATTATTTTATTATTTTTCAATATACTTGAATAATAAATAATATTTTCTTATTTTCCAATTAAAATCTAATAGTAAATAAAAGAGTCAATTTTATTATTTTTCAATTACACTTGAATAGTAAATAAACTAGTTAATTTTATTTTTCCTTGGTTAGTAGTTAGTTGGGGCCTGGGGGGATAAGTGACTCAAACCTATAATCAAGAGAGTGGGAACACTATAGGACTGGCCCTTTTATCACTTATGAACTTGACCATTGCGGTGTGGTCATTGATTTTGGCTACCTTAACCTCTATCTATTTGGACACATAATCATCTATGCATCTTTTACCACTTCTTCTTTCACCTTTTACCATTTATTCTTTCTTCTTTCATAATTATAATGCATTCAAAATAGTGGATTTTTTTTCCCCCCTCAAAATACTGTTTAGTAGGTTGAAAGTTCAATACTTCAAAAGAGCAAAGCCTTTTTTTTTTTTTTTTGGCAATACTTAAAAAGAGCAAACTAAATATGCCCATTATTTGACAAGACTAAAGTGAAACATCTATATATATATATATATAGTAAATTCCAAACTATATTCTCAAAGTTCATTATCATTCATCTTCTTTTTGTTTTTAAATATAAAAGAAGAAGATGTGATTGGCTACAAATTGTTTTTTTTGGAAAGTTACAAAATTTTATTTTTCTATACGCTAAAGTCCTATCCTTGCTCGCCAAGCATAGGCCCCACGCAAAGTAAGTGGTAATGAACTGTTAAATGGCGTTCCATTATAATTGGATGCTTTTGCATTATTGATTGAACTTCATTTGGTCTTTTCTTTTAGTAACAGAATAAAGGTGTCATTACATGTTCAAGTAGCGAGTCAAGCTAAGTAAAAAGTCCTTTTCGCTCATTTGGCGTTTATGAATAATGACATACGGATTGAGAATTATGAACGCTACTTGACCCGAATTCGTTTAATTAGATTAATGTCACATCTTCACATTTGGGAAAGTTGTTATTTATTATTATTATTATTATTATTATTATTTTCTTTGCAATAAGTATGGCCCTGTTTGTGGAACCTTCTCGAGTCTTAAAAAGTCATTTCTGAAAAAAATTTGTGAATTTTAATCACAAATTTTACAAAGAAGTAAGAAAATATTACTTTTGAAAGAAAATGTTACTTTTGAAATCTCCTTTTGAAACCATTTGCTTATGTATTTTTTATAGATCGATAAGACTGTCATATATTCTTTTTTAGTTCTTTGTTCCACCACTATCACCTTACACTACTACCTTTCGCCATTACCGTCACCATCGCCATTGCCGTCGTGACCTTCCATCACCACCACCATTGCCATCGCCACTATCGCCCTCCACCACCACCGCTACCTTTCATCACCGTCTTTCGCCGCCACCACCACCATCACCACTATTTCCACCACCACCATCACCCTCCACTACCAATGACCACCACCTTCCACCACTACCACTTTCTACCACCGCTACCACCCCCCACCATCGCCACCTTCCACCACCACCATCATCATCGCCACCTTCCAACACTACCACCTACTGTTACCGCCACCCTTAATCGCAACCTACAAATATGTCTGACAATTCAATCTAACTATCATTACTTCATAAAAAATAAAAATTTATGAGTGTGCACCATTATCATATTGAGCTCTTCTAAAATTTGGCAAAATTTAGGATTGTTTACCATTTTTACTTTAAACTCTTCTAGAATTTGGTTTTTATACCCAATGACATCTTTAGAATTTTTTTTCCAACAGACATGTTAGACCATTTTTGTAAAATGATAATTTTACCTTCTTTTTTTATTGTAATATAAAGAGCATTACCAACATTTATTCAAAAATCAGTTTTCAACCAACAA